CCCTCCCCTCCCACCTACCTAAGCTTAACCCACCTTATCCTCCTACGCACATCTTTCGGCACGGTATATTGTGTAATGATTTCGATTTCACGTAGAACGTGTTATTATCAGTGGGTTATCAGACAACGGGTGAGGGGAGGAGAACAAGCTTTTTGCGCAAGAAACACATAGAGACAAGTGGGAAGAATCGTTCCAACCGATTGGCGCATCCTGAGGGGAAAAGAGAAAACGATTAGGAGCGGAGATAATTATCATCGACACACGGCATACAAAGAATAATCGCTCATATCGCTTTTCCGTTTTTTTAAAATCGCTTTTGCCATAGTACCGTTTTGCCAAGATGAGAGGTTTCAGGTGAATCAGAAGCAAAACCAATCAGAATGGGAAGGATAACGATGGTTTTAGGAGTTTTGATGATTGTTGGAACAGTTCACAGCTTCTTGCTAGGAGGTTGCGGAGGATGTGGGTGAGTGCAGGTGTCCTGAGGTGACATATCGGAGAAGGGCATTTTGGGAGCAGATTTGTTGTTAATTAAACTTTCTAAAAACTTCTACATAATTTGAAATCTGCAAAGCTGTTGTTTTAATTGGTTCATTAATTAAAACTTAAAGATTTTTAGGGCCGTTGAAATAGTTCCCAACAATACTGCTTACCGGAAATGCTCTAATAAAAGTCCACCTTATACTTCAACTTTGAGCTCCATTATCTAAATTCCAGGGAAAGATATTAAAATTTTGTCAACTGATAAATTATTTGTGACATTGTGATAAACATTTTATCAGTTGATGGATTTTTGATAAGTCTCATAGGAACCGAGATAACTGAGCTCAAAGTTGACGGTTTGGGTGGGCTTCTTTTTAGATCATTTACGGTACATGGTAATTGGTGTATCCATTGAATTTTTGAGTTTATTAGGACCGTTGAAATAGTTTTCAGAAAGACTGCTCAATTGGACCATAGAACTTGCATCTCTTTACTTGTCTCAACTTTGATTCATTGGTCAATATTTGTGTTAAGTATCACTTTCACCATCGAAAATTACAAAAAAAATTAGTTTGCCTGGAAATCTCCATTTTCAATCAAATTTTTCTTTTGAAATCGATTTTGAAATAGCTTTTGAACAGCATCCTATATTCAATTCTTCATTTTCTCGTTCATTTTTTTCAACCAGGAAGTATTTCATACCAAAAACCTGTATTATTAGGGCTGGACCTTCTATTGCTCCAAGCCCTTCTCGGAATGCCCTTCTATTGAACGGGCCCTTCTAATGCAGGTTTTACAGTATCTTTAGACATCTAGAACTCTCTTCAAAACTTTCTAATAACGCTTGATCAGTTTCTAACCGCATACCTGCTTTTCCGTGGCTTCTTCTTCTCTATTACACAATTTCGACCTCAGCTTTACACAACCATCATCGGCATGATCGTAAATGCAAGCTCGTTTTTACGTCATCACCGGGAGGTCAATTCATCAAGGTGCTTCTTACAACCGCCAAAACCGACAATTGCTTTATCTGATTTTGGCTTTGAGGACATAGAAAAACCTGTAGATTTTAAACAGAAATTCAATGACATGGAAAATTGGAAATCCCTGATTTTGGCAGATTTTATAACTTTTGTTAACCTGGATTATATTTTTTTTTAAAGACTTCCTCTTCAATTTCAGTTTCACCTGATGATCCATTAAGATTTATAGATTACTGTATATGGTTCCCAAAAGCCCAAATGTCCTATCTGATGTCCTATCTGACTCCTCTCCCCAACTATAGTAACCCAAATGTTAAATTCCAGAGGTCCATCCCTATCTCTCTGCGGTGGCGGTTGTGCCCCACGCCCACGAGTCGCGGCTCCACCATTCGCCCCACCACCTCCCCCATCCCTACCACTTCCACCAAGATGCGAGTGCCCACCACCAACTTGTAACTCTTGTGCTCCAGCTCCAGCTTCATGCGGATGTGGAGGAGGTGCTGGTGGAGGATATGCCTCCTATCCACGTGGCGGATACGGTAGAGGAAGAAGTGACGACGATGATGAAGAGGAGTATTCTGATGAGAAGACCAAGGAGGACGATGAGGACGAAGAGTGATTTTACTGAAATTTTTGAAGGAGATGGGACCGAATTTTGATACTGTAGAGCTTATCAGTCATTTGTATCATTCTTCTGTCTCATAAGCTTTCATTCAAAATGCAATAATTGTTTCTATGTCAATTCCTAAACGCAATATAACTTGTTTCTACATGTCATAGCTATATATTTTCCTTTTTTTTTGCCTTCCACCAACATGATAAAATGAACCAAATCAGATTCCATAGCCAAAGGTTCAGGTTCTTTTTGCCTCGCATCTCCGAATGATCTAATGAAGAGGGAAGGAGAAGAATACACACGCACCTGTCTTCATCTTTTCAATTTTCGCCAAGACCGTTACGTTAAGATGATATCGGAGAAGAAGAAGAAGAAGAAGAAGAAGAAGAAGAAGAAGAAGAAGAAGAAGAAGAAGAAGAAGAAGAAGAAGAAGAAGCGAGTTTTCATTTGAAAGGAGGAAGCTGCCTCTCTCCGAAAAATGCCGTTTGTGTCCTATTGAATTAAAAAAGAATTAGAAAATAAAGAGGCATGAAAAGGAGAGAGGAATTATTCAATTTTGAGAATTGTCGAATCGGGAAAAGGGGATTCTAGGTGTGTTTGGTCAAGTGTGTATTGAGTGCTTCAGATTGTGTTTTTTCAAGAATGAACTGGCATTGCGGACTTTTGATCTGAATATTACGTATCTTCGAGAAATCTTGGAAAACTTTATCGTAAAGGAATGGAATTTAAATATAAAACATTTTTGCGAAAATTTCTATGGGGATTTTTGTAGTCAAACATTGATTACCGTGAAACCTGTATTAGAAGGGTCGGCCCTTTTAATTTAATTTGTTTATTGATCAGGTGTAATAAAACATTAGAGGGCAAGGGCGACGAGGGGAGGAGGAGTATTTGACATGTGCATTTAGGTTAGGAAAGTAGGCGGAGCCATTTAAAAATTTATAGAGAAGAATTAGTTGAGCTTTTAGCCTACGATGTCGAATGGAGAACATATTGAGGATAGAGAGACGATCAGAATAGGAACTGTACTGGATATTACAACGCTGGAAAATACACTTAGAGAAAAATCTTAAGGGAGATTCTAGTTTTAGAGCAAGGCGAGAAGAAGGCGGAGGGGAATAAACTACAGAACAATATTCCAGAATCGAGAGAACATAACATTTGAAAAGATGAATGTAGAATTCTGGAGACTTAGATCTAAATGACTTTAAGAGTTGTTTGGAACGGAGAAGAGCTAAAGATGTGATTTTGTTGATGTGAGCAGAGAATTTGAGAGAGGAATCAGTAATGAGTCCCAAGTCCCGGACGGAGGAGGAGGGAGTAAGTGTAACACCCGCAATATTGAGAGGATGGGAAGAATTATGGGAACCTAGGCGAAGAAGGGCAGTTTTAGAGTGGGCAAGAGGGAGATGGTTGGCGGCCCTTCTATTGTTCCAAGATACCTCCGGAGGGTCCTTCTATTACAGGGGCCCTTCTATTTTTCCGGTCATTTTTCCCGAAAATTTTCATCGAAAAATTCGACGAATTTTCGTTCAAAAGTCATGAAAATCTGTTAATTTGACCAAAATTAATCTAGTTTTTTGAGCAAAAAGTAGTTTTTCAACAGATTTCTATTAAATTGTAGAATTCCCGGAATATTTTTCATTGAAAACGTACGGAATTTTTTTTATATTTCATGATTATTTTGAAGGGGGCCCTTCTATTAGGGGGGCCCTTCCAATACAGGTTTTACGGTAACCAATAGGATCGTTTTCTTGGGGAATCAGCTCCCTTTGGCGATTTGCCTTAGCAAGACCCAGGGAAGGATTGGACAAAAATTAAAGCAAAAATCATGTCACTCTGCTTCAAGATACCATAAAACCTCTATTAGAAGGGCCAGCTCTTCTATTGTTCCACGTCGCGTTTGGAGAATCGTCAATTGCAGAAGCCCTCCAATTAGAAGCTGGGCCTGAAAAATTCAGTGTGTTCTCGTTCAAAATTCATTAGAATCTATCGATTGATTTCACCAAAATTGAGCAAGAATATTTTCCATTGATAACATACGAACAACTTTTTTTTTGAATAAATGGGCCCACTATCAGAGGACCTTTCTAATACAGGTTTTAATTAGTTTTGAACAAGATCAATAAATAGCAAGACTAGGACACTAACAAATTGCCCATTTTTTGGCAGCTGTTAGACAACCTCATATCAATTTATGAGATAACCAACAAGCTAGTGCGCCTTCGGCGCGATTTGACTTAGTTTTGTCGCTCCGCCTATAGGTATATCAATTGTTCTTGAAGGGTCACGTAAATCTTTTTTATTTTTCAATTTTTCAAAAATCCACAGACTGATAGGGGGACCAACAGACGCCTCTAGCGTTTCATATCCAATAATATTATCCAATGCGACAAAAACAGATTACCGTGAAACCTGTGAAAGAGGGGCTCGCGCACTGCCAAGTTTGAGCTCAATTATCTCCTTTCCTATACGAGATATATGTAAAAACGGGTCAACTGATAAAATCTTTGGGCTATTATGATAAGCGATTTATCAGTTGATAACTTTTTAATATCTTTGACAGGAATCGAGAAAAATTGGCGCAAAGTTAAAAGTTAGGGGAGATCCTTCTATTATAGGTTTTACGGTACTTGACTACGAACAACTAATTCAACATATATAAACCTCAGTGATGGGAGGAATTTCCGTTTCCGTTTCCGTTTTCCGCCCGGTTTTTGAGATTTATTTCCGTTTCCGTTTCCGCGGAAAAGAAATTTACGTTTCCGTTTTTGCAAATGTGAAATTCTATTTCCGTTTCCGTTTTCCGGAAAAATCGCCAATTTTTTTCAGCGGAAACGGAAAAAAATATAAAAGTTGACGAAAACACTGAACTAAAACTTGCTCGAAAAAAAGCATGGAAAGTGAGGCAAATATAGCCTTCAAACGTTAAAAAGTGTTTATTTTCATGTTTGATGGGAAAAAAATGCTGAAAAATAGACGAAAAACAGAATTTCCGTTTCCGTTATAGTTTTTCGTTTTCCGTTTTCCGTAAATTTTTTACTCGTTTTTTTCCGTTTCCGTTTTCCATATTTCGGAAAAATGCGTTTCCTTCCATCACTGGTACCCCTGAGAAACTAAGTTTCCGCATCGCTCTTTTCGAGTATAAATTCTTTATTAAAATCACAAAAGCATTTTTATAGAATCAATCCGCCGATTGACCAGCCCGTCGCAATTGTTTGAATGCCAATGTTCGATCAACATCTACCGTAATGTACTCGATATCCGAAGGCGTTGGAGACCGGGTTGAAGTTGCTGCCATGGTACTGGAACTAGAGTTCTCGATCAATTGAGTCGGCTCGAAGTAGTCCAAATTTTTTCGTTTCGTTTCTTTTTTGAGCTGGAAATAAAAACGTATGGCCTAGAACTGAAACTGGGATGTATAGAATACCGGAAGCTTGTTGGAGTAGTTTTCTTTGGTTGACCTGCCGTTAGCATAATTGCTATCTTCTCTCCGTCCTGTGTACACTGAGTTCTCATTCCTTCGACCCGTATACACCGTATTTTCATTGATGGTCTGTGGTTTGATATCCGAGACGCTGAAAATCAAACTTTCTATTTTCCCTTTGAATTTACCCTCTACAAACTTTCTATACTGATCCTCCTCTCCCGATTTCATACTTCTCGGTTTGTTTGACCTGTCAATTGGTGGTGGAGCTCGGCCAATGATGGTCCGCCCACTCAGATCGTAAATTGGGATTCCTTCAGACGACGCGAGGGAATCCGGATAAGCTCGATTCATCGATGTTCCAGGTTTCATGGTTTCTCCACTACTCTCTTCAGCATCATCTCCTCCAACAACTCTTCCCATTGAGGTCGATGCAGGGATCATATGGAGACGATTGATTTGCCCGTTCTGGTACATCTAGAAACTTGAAATAGGATGCTAAACTATAGGGTAATTGAGCCACGGATTCTGAATGAGCCACTGAGCCAATTTTAGAACAGGCCGATAGGTCCCCGGCCACCTACCCACAACTTGAGGCATGGCCGGTAGCGACCGGCAGCAGGTCGCGATTGGTTAAACTCTGCCTTGGCTATACCCTAAAGGACCCACCTTAATAAAACGGGTGTTTCCCATGTGCCTAGCACGTGGCGGTGGGACTGGCGGACCACTTGTGTAGCTCACACTATCATCTTCTGTCCTCCGACTCGAGTACATCGAAGAAGTTTCAGATCGAGTATCTGAAATGTATTTTTAATTATTTTTTATCAAAATTGTGAATGTCCTAACCTGGTAAATTGTTATAGTTGGGATTCGAGTTCACTGATTTGAATTGTTGCATACGTAGAAACGATTTGGGATCGGAGCTCTGAAATATGCTATCGTTTTTATAAACCGCTATTATTAGCTTCTGTGCATTAGTATCTAAAATACACTACCGTTTTCTGTTGTTTTGTTTGGTTGGTGTTGGCATTAGGAGGAGCATTACAGTACAATTGATTATTGGAAGCTTCAGAAGGGGTGTTAGGCAGGGAAGAATACTTTCTAGCGAACTCTCGCATGGCCACACTCTTTTTCCGAACACTCGAATGGTAGGCTCGTTTGGAAGTGGGTCGTGAGCGGAAGCCACCAAAGTTGAAATGGCCCATCCGATCTTCGGATTCGTCGACATTTGATGAGTTGCACGTGCTGGTTTTGGGCTGAAATATGGGGGAAGCGGTGAAGCGGATAGAGGGTTTTGAAGCGGAAAGGCGTGCACGGATAACAGGACTTGGGGGAAAATTAAGGATAAGCGGGAGTACATACTAAACAAACCACATTTTAGGTAGCATCTAACACAGACGATCTAGATTTAAGTAGTCTATTTTTAATTCTCTAATAGAAAGCTACCATTTTCTCTTATAGAAGCTCACCCATTCCGTCAACTTTGAGGTCAAATATCTCAATTTATAAAATTGATATCATAACTTTATCAACTGATAAAATATTGTTGACACTGTGATTAAAATTGTATCAATTACAAACTTTGAATATCTATCATAGAAATGTAGGTGACTGACGGTAATTTGTGAAAGTTCAGAACAAGCGGAAATACAAAGAAAATGAGAAATTTCTAGAAATTTCCATTTAAAAATGACTATTTAAATTACAGTACTAGCTCCACTACAAAACATACAACATGCCAACCAACCAACCAACAGTACTCACAATTTTTTCCAACTTTCCCAAAACTCACATTATCTGCGAACTGTTGTCTCTCCATCAGGGACATATCCAAAGACTGAGACGACATTGACATTCCACTTATAGATGAGTCAGCGGCTTGGGAATCATCTGAAAATTTTTGAAATTATGCTGTCTCTATACTTTCTAACAAGGGAGTCCTCACCATCATTCTGCCTATGCAGCTTGCAAATTTTGCAAATCTCGTTAACCCATAATGTCATCTCCTCATCATTCTTTGCCACCAAATACAGGTCTTTGAGCACATTATGAACTCGAAAACCAATTCCAAAAATCGAATGAAGAGTGTCGGGATGATGATTCTGAGCTGTTGAAGAGCACAAAACCGATGGATCGGAGATGGAGAGATTCGATTCAACTCGTGCTACCAATTCCATCTTGAACCTTTTCTTTAGCTCGTTTTTACGAGAAGACTTGAACTCATCGATAGCATAGAGATTCCGTCCGGGATCACGACAGTAAAGTACAAAGTAATGTTCAATCCATTTGGTCTGAAATACATATTTTTCATTAATTAGAAATGTTTTCTTCTTTTTTTTAAATTCCTTCTCACCTTGAACAACTTGTACTTTTTGCACCTCTTCAGCGATCCTTCCAATATGATATTCTCATCGGGAATACTCATATTGTTTTTGTAGATTGATGTTGGTGAACACCCTGAAAGAATCGGATTGGGAAAAAATGGTTGAAAATAAAAAACAGTTTCGTCATGTGATCTCAAAGTGATTCGTGGGGGAAATTTGAAAAAAAAAGTGAAAAATTCGAAGAGAACGGGAGAGATGAAGATGATATGATTGTTGGTAAAGTTGGAATCTGAACATCATTATATATGGTATTTCTGGGAAGAAGAAAAAGAGAGAGAGAGAGAGAGAGAAAGAGAGAGAGAGAGAGAGAGAGAGAGAGAGAGAGAGAGATTTACTAAAAATGGGAAAATGGGGTATTTTTGGGTACGAACGACCGCCCACCTATGGTCATGTGTGCTTAGGGCAATTTACGGAAATTGGAAAATAATGGACATCTGGACAAAGGGGAGTACAGATGTACTCCCAAAAAATAATGTGTACAAAGTGTTCGAGCAGGACACAATCAATGCGACGGAGGCTGATTATCGCGATGTTCATTCAGGTAACCTGGGTTCCAACTTTGAGCTCAATTATCACCGTTCCTATGAAAGACATTGGAATTTTTTCAACTGATAACATATTGATGGTATTATGATAAATAGTTTATAAGTTGAAAACCTTTTCATAACTTTCACAGAAACCGAGATAAATTGACTTGAAGTTGACGGTTTGTTGGGCTTTTATTAGAGGAAATGCGATATTTGTAATTGAAAATAGTCACATTTGAACTTCTAAAAATGAAACTAGATTTTGTTTGAGGAGGCTGAAAATTTCAGAGCAAACTAAACAAAAAATAGAGCTTCAATTTTGTAGTTGACCACTTTTTTGTAAAAATGCGTTTAGATGAGATATCCAACTTAAAACCAAAAAAGTTTCAAAACTTCTAGAACTGCACTGATTTCAGAGTCATGACAATTTTCAAGCGGTTTATCTCATTTCGATGAAATCGTACAAAAAACTTGTCAACTACAAATTTCAAGATAAAAAATCTAATATATTTTCCAGATCTAAAGTTGGCTGTTTTCAATTAAAATTAGGTAATATTTAGCCAGTACTGTACATGAGGATATTTTCAGATACAGAACTTTTCAGTTATGGAACTTTTGAAATTGAAGAAAAAAGAGATGCCGGAAGGGAATCTGGCCAAAATTCTGTTGAGATTTCAAACATGTTGTCAAATTTTTGTAGGCTTTTAGAGCCGGAAATTTGGAAATTTTCAAAAAAAAATCCAAAAAATTGCAAAAATCCAAAAAATTGCACAAACTTTGAGCCCACATATCTCATTTCCTGTGAAAGGTATCAATTAATGATTAACTGATAAAATGTTGCTAATGTTGTGATAAACAATCTGTCCGTTGACCGCTTTTTGATATCTTTAACAGGAATAGAGATATGATGAGTTCAAAGTTGATGGCTTGGGTGGCGTTCTATTAGAGTGTTTACGGTAGGTTTCAGACTGGAATTTTGTGTTGATGAAGTACAAAATGGATAATTGGATGGGAAGATAAAAACTATTTGGAAAAAAGATAATGTTGATCGGATGATGCATAAGAAGCTTAAATAAGTACCGTACTTTCTTCAAGAGACTCCCACCTAAACCGTCCACTTTGAGCTCAATTATCTCGATTCCTATGCGAGATATCAAAAAGTTGTCAACTGATAAATTCCTTATCATAATATCACCATTGTTTTATCAATCGATAGATTTTTGAGAGCTTTTAAAGGAACCGAGATAATGGAGCTCAACGCGCACAGGACTTCTAATAGAGCTAAAATGACAATTCGAAAACTGTAGAGAAACAAAGAAAGTAGAGGAAAATTCTAAAAAATAGAAAAAACCAATTCGTCATCGAAAAAAGGAAAGAAGTCGAATTCCGAATTAATTGCAGACCAAAACATTCCAACCGATTTCGAAACTTATGACTAAAAAAATCGTAGACAGTGATTCCCAAAATATACACATAGCTATCATCGTAACTAGATACACATATAATATTGTAAAGTTGAAATGCAAGAGACAAGAAGAGAAAAAAAAGAAAAAGGTGATAAGAAGAGGAGACAACAGAGGCAGAAACCACCACTCTCACACGGGGTGAATCGATAAATTGTTTCGTTTTATTTTCCGTTTCTTACAGGTCTGTCCGCAGTGATGATGTTATCATTTTATTTTTCGAGATTTCCAAAAATAATTTTGAATCAAAAATGATATAAAAAGTGATTGAAAAGGTTAGGACTGTATTTTTAGGGCACCCATAAATTTCAATTCTTCAACTCATTAGGGTGGGGTGGCCAATAATAGTAGTGGCGCGCGCCAAATAAGAAAAAATAGTGCTCCAGAATAAGAGACGCAGAGAATCGAGATAGATGGAGTCGTCGTCGATTTTTATTTGTTACACCACCAACCAAAAATACAGACACACAATTTGTTACCCAATACTGGTCTCCATCATTCTCTCTCCATCCGATTTACAGGTTGAATGGGAGGGGTCGCTTTGACATATTAATCGAGAAAATATGTATAATACATAGAGAATTTTGTAATAAAAAAATCATGTTCAAAAAGATATACATCCCCCCCCCCCCGATTTTTGATGAAGTAATAAATCAGGCACTTATTCAGTTTTTTTATGGGATAAATGGGTTGGGCAGGCAGGCAGGCAGCATCTTTGATTCAGAGATAATTATGTCGTCGTTTGTTAGATTTAGGAGAGTGCTTGGTTTTGGTGATGGATGGAAGGAAGAAGTGGGGATACTGTAGAAGACAGACAGTGGAAACGGAAAGTCATTTTTTCGAGAATCTTTCTGAGTGTGGAATTGTGGAAAGGAGTACTGTACTGAATGAAAACAGACCGCAATGGAATATGAACCCCATTAGCCGTCAACTTTGAGCCAATATATCTGGGTTCTTGTAACAGATATCAAAAAGTAGTCAACTGACAAAATGTTTATCATAATATCAGCAATATTTTATCAGTTGACAGATTTTTGATATCATTCTTAGAAACCAAGATAATCGAGCTTAAAGTGCACAGAGCAGATATGGTATTTCAGTGGAAATAAAGATAACTTTAAAGCCCCGGAAAAGTAGTTCAAATTTGTTCAATTTGTGTGAAATTTTCAGAGAATACTGAACGAATCTAGAGCTTCAATTTTGTAATTCACAACTTTTTTCGTACAAATCCGATTAAGCGAGATAAGTGGTGTTTTAAAGTGGCAAAATTCTCATTTCAGAGCTAATTTTTAGCATTTCCTGAACTTTTTTTGTTAAAAGCGGCCTATCTTATCACAATGACATTAAGAGAAAAAATTTGTCAGTTATGAAATTGAAGCTCTCCTTTTGTATAGCATAGTCTAAAATTTTCAGGCAAATTCGAGAATTGTGAATTGCTCTGACAGAAGCTCACCCCATACTTGCACTTTGAGCTCAATTATCTTGTTTTCTATCATAGAAACCAAAACGTTGTCAGCTAATGAAATGTTTATCATAATTCCGCCAATATTTTATCAGTTGGCAGACTTTTTATATCTCTCATAGGAAACAAGATAATTGAGCTCAAAGTTAGCGTATAGCATGTTCTTCTATTATGGCATTCACGGTACCTCAGCTACCTCAATTAAAACTGTTGCCGCCGTTTTACATGTTTCGAAAATTATTAAGCTACAAATCTCAATTTATCAGAAAATTTTGAGCAAAGTTTAACACTCAAATGTCCTCAAATAAACGGATTTCAAATGTTTTCAAAACTTTTAATCCCAAAATTATTGAAACCCTAAAGTCTATATTTTTGCTTCGTAGCACATTATTTGTACCGGTATCACAAGCATCCATGAAATCATGATGTTTTCGAATTTTGAATTATTGGATCATCTAAGCTCTCTAGTCCGGACATCACTTGAGACAGTAAAAACAGTATTAGACAGGCCCCTAGACGGTCAAGTTTGAGCCTATTTATCCCGGTTTCTGTGCAAGATATCAAAAACGTGTAAACTGATAAAACACTTCTGATATTATGAAAAACATTCCATCAGTTGACAGATTTTTGATGTCTTTTACAGGAACCGAGATAAACTAACTTAAAGTAAAAAGCAAGGGGAGTCCTTCTATTACAGGTTTTAGGGCAGATTTTTCCGAAAAAACGCTCCCCGAATCCCAAATTTTTACGAGAACCTAATTGTTGGTTTCCAGAAATAGAGAGAAAATTTAATTGGAATAGAGTCCACACCCACACTCAACGTACTTCTCTATTTCTGTCCATCATCCACTCTCAAAAACATGTAAAAACATATAAAAACGAAAACGAAGGAGAAAATGATGAAGATGAAGAAGAATAAGACAAAAACAAAAAGAGACATCCACAAGGAGAAAGACTAGAAAAAGAATTGAAGACGTCGAATCCGGGGTGGGGGTAAAAAAGATAAGGAAAAGAGAACGGGGGGCGCGTGGAAGAAATAAAATTGGTTGATATACAGAAGGAGATGGGTGATGATGGAGGATGAAGAGAGGGGGGAGAAGGAATTAGAATTAGTTGTAAAATGTGTTTTGCAGACAACATACGGAGAAGACGCGTACGGGAATAAGAGAGAGAGAGAGAAAGAGAACGGTTCATCCCCCCTCCTTAAAGGTCACATTTGAATATCAAAGGATGTTAGCCGACACAGAACGATTACGGAACATTTTTGGGTGGTCGGGAGGAGGAACGTTTTGAAATAAATTATTGTGATGAATTTTTCGTAATTCCGAAACTTCCAGCTGTTCAATTTCGGAATTTCGGAATTCCGAAAACTTCAAAATTTCCAAACCCCACTCCCCCCCCCCCAAGTTTCGGCTCCGCATACCCTTGTACCAACATAGCGGTGTTCCGTACTTTCAGTAATAGAAGCCCGCCCAAACCGTCAACTTTGAGCTCAATTATCTCGCTTCCTGTGAAAGATATCAAAAATTGGTAAACTGATAAAATGTTTGTGATATGATGGTGAGCAATTTAGCAATTGACAAATTTTTGACATCTCTTCTAGGAACCGAGATATTTGAGCTCAAAGTTGATGGTTCGGTTGGGCTTCTTTGTATTAGAGGAAATACGGTAATTGAAACTTCGGTTAAAAGGGGGTTTGTAGGAAAATAAAATCCGAGCAACATGGTTCTTAAACTAAAACTTCCAAACTCTCTCTCTCTCTCTCTCTCTCTCTCTCTCTCTCTCTCTCTCTCTCTCTCTCTCTCTCTCTCTCTCTCTCTCTCTCTCTCTCTCTCTCTCTCTCTCTCAGTATATTCCAATTTGTCTTGTTGCGAGCTTCAAAAGAAGCCTAAACAAGGCTAAATTTGAATGATTTAGTAAACTTTTAAATTTCGAAATTAGATATCTGGATAGATAGATACTAAATAGCCAAAATGCCGCCTATCAAAATTGTCTATTAAACAAAAAAGAAGACAAATGAAAAATGAATAAAAATGAATGAAAAAAGGAGAATGTGCTCCATGAAAAAACAAAAAGTGCATGTGTGCTTGAATGTCTTGGGAGGAAAAAAGGAGGAAAATATTATGGAATTTCTAGAATTATTATATTCCGATGGGATTCCAATGTTCTTGAAACTGATAGGTTAATGAAGTCAGAACTTTCACAGAATAGAAGCATACCAAACTGTTAATTTTGAGCTCAATTATCTCGATTCCTGTGGAAGATATCAAAAATTTGTCAACTGATAAAACATTGATCATATTATGATAAATGTTTTATTAGTTGACAGATTTTAGATATCTCTTATAGGAACCGAGATAATAGAGCTCAAAGCTGACTGTTTGGGTGGTCTTTTATTTAAGTTCATTAGCGCTATCACTTATTGTGTTCAGAAAAAAAAGAACAAAAAATAGTGTTTCTCTATTCCAAGGCACAATTTTATTATGAGTAAAAAGGGGTACAGGGAAAATGTAATAGTCTATCTACTTTTTTTCAGAATATAAAATTTTATAAACATTTATTTTGGGAATGGCTTCTGGGCCATGAAGAAGTTCCAGTTGTGGTTGTCCTTCTCAATATATCCTAGCTTGTTGGTCCATCCAGAAATGAGGGAATCTCTCTCGCGTTGTTGGAATTTCTGAAAAAAAGTTCACGAGGATCAAAGAAAGTTGTTAAAATTAGCTCAATTTAAGCTAACTTACCGACAAGAACTCAGCCTCGTTTTGCTCCAAATGAGTGCGCTCCTCGATGAGAATCTCCTTGAATCGTGGAGTCATGTTTTCGGTGACGATGTTGGTGAATCCGACCTTCTCGGCGATTTGATGGATTTCCTTGAGGTTCTTCAGGAAGTAAGCACGTTGAGCAACGTACTCCTTGAACTGCTCCGATTGCTCTCCGTATCCTTTTCCGTACATTGTGATGAGAACCTTACCTCCTGGTTTCAAGGCTTTCTGGAAGTATGATACTGTCGGTGTATCCTTTCGACATTGTTTCGAAAATTTTTTGAAACGAATACATTACCTCTTTGGGGTGGCCTAACTTTTGCAAGTTGAGTTTTCTANGCCACCTAGTAAAAATGACATAGAATTGGTCTAATATTCACATGGTGTGCTTTCTAGGTAATTTTAAGTGGTGGCCTAATTTTTGCAATTTGGGTTTCCTAGGCCATCATGGTAAATTTGCCGAGAAATAGCCTGTCATGTCCCTGATTTGTTTTCTGGGTCATTTCACCATGGTGGCCTAGAACTGCAAAAGCTCGGCCACCACTAAAAGTGACATGGAACAGGGACATATTATCCCATTTCTAGATCATTTCACTATGGTGGCCTAGAAAACCCAACTTTCAAAAATTAGGCCACCTCTTCAAAGTGACCTGGAAAACACACCAAGGGTATGTTAGGTCATTTCTAGGTAACTTTACCATGGTGACCTAAAAACTCAACTTGCAAAAGTTAGGCCACCACGTTAAAATGACCTAGAAAACACGCCAGTTTAATATCAGACCACTTTTTGCCAATTTACCATGGTGGCCTAGAAAACCCAACTTGAATAAGGTTAGGCCACCACTTCAAAATGACCTAGAAAACACGTCAGGGGCACGTTAGCCTACTTCTAGATCATTTTGAAGTGCTGGCCTAGAAAACCCAACTCGCAATTCCTAAAAATGACCAAAATCGAGAAAAATAGCAGCAATGACACTAAACACCCTAAATACTGTAGTCTGCAAACCCTATAGCAGCAACTTACGTAGATTCTGGAGAATAGCTTATCAGTGTCTGGAATGTGTTGAATGCAATCTCTGGAGAAGACATAATCGAATGAATCATCCTCAAACTGATAGACCAAAGCGTCAGTGATCGAGTACTTGACTCTCGAATCCTTTTCCTCATGAAGACGTTCCAAAGCGATGGCCAGCATGTTTGACGACAAATCAATTCCATGAACATGAACTCCAAACTCATCGGCAACCTGTCTGGCTCCACCTCCGATTCCCACTCCGATATCCAACATGGTTTGTCCTGGCTTCAAGTCTCCGAATCTCTTGATAATCTTCAAGTTCTCAGCATATCCTCCTGGCGAGATGAAGTTCACTCCAAACATCCACTCGTAGGCGTCGATTCCGGTGCTTGTGTACTGGGTCTTGTCGAGGAAATCGCGGAAAGTGACGGTGGCGTCGGTGGATGGGGCGAACACCTTCTTGCGGAAGACAAATATGAAGTCAAGGAAGTTTTGCTCGACGTAGGTGGAGTTGTGGACCTCATCGACTGTGTATAGGTCGAGTCCAGTGTTGTTTCCATCGGCATCATTGGTACGGAAGACGTCGAAGTAGTCGGTGAGACGGGCAACTTGCCGCTTATCAGCAACATTCTCTGGAAAAATTGTGATTAGAAAAATCTAAATTTAGGAAATGCTCAAAGTTAAGAGAACAGTTTGGATTGTATACAGTGTTTTTAGGTAACTTTTTTGCGTTCTAGTGTGTGCGTTCTTGACCATTTTTGCATGTTGGCCTAACTTTTTCGAATTGAGTTTTCTAGGCCACTAGATTAAATGGCCTAGAAATACCCTAACATGCCCCTGGTGCGTTTTTAGGTTGTTTTAACATGGTGGCCTAGAATACTCAAATTGCAAAAGTTAGTTCATATGAATATGACCTAGGAAAACAACCAGAAAAAGTTAGGCTGTTTCTATGCTATAAAAGTTGATGGTCTAGAAAACTCAGCTGGCGAAAATGAGGCCCCATGTTAAATAACCTAGAAATCACGCCAGGTGAAACTTTAGGCCATTTCTGGGGCATGAAGGTTAGTGGCCTAGAATTCAACTTGCGAAAGTTAGGCCAGCATGTTGAACAGCCTAGACAACCCACCAGGTAAACGAGGTCATTTCTACGTCATATAGACTGATGGCCTAGAAAACTGAACTTGTAAAAGTTAGGCCGTCATGTTAAAATGGCCTAGAATTGGTATGATATTTACATGGTGTGTTTTCTAGGACAGTTTTCGTGGTGGCATAGAAAACTCAAGTTGCGAAAGTTAGGCCATCATGTTAATATGGCCTAGAAATCCCACCATGTGAATTTCTGACAATTTCTGGACCATCGACTACGGTGGCCTAGAAAAATCATGTTGAGAAAGTTAGGCCACTCTATTCGTCCTTCGAAAACTTACTCAAGTCCTCTCTGATCACAACGATTCCTCCAACTGATGCTGCGTTGGTGGCGTTCTTCAAGAAATCGGTCAAGAGATCGGCATTGGTGACAATCTGAAAATTTTACCTCATTACCCGATTTTCTCTACCACCCTAGACGTGCACGTTGAGCTCAATTATCTCGCTCCCTCTGAGAGATATCAGAAATTTGCCAACTGATAAAATATTTATCATAATATCACTAATATTTTATCAATGTACAGATTTTGAATATCTCTCACAGGAACCGAATAATTGAGCTCAAAGTGCTACTAGCCGCAATACGGTTTCTTTTTTCCTTCATCCTCTTTTTTATGAATTCCTTGACCACTTTTTTTTATTATCACAACCGAATTTTAACTATCTGATAACATAAAGTCAAACAGAGAAACATCGAGAGAGAAAAAGGGCAAAACATCAAAGTGTGTTGATTAGATTTTCATGTCTTTCTCTGATAACAAGATGGGGTGATCTCTTCTGTGTGGAGAAGAAGCAAAGAATAGACCGATATCTTTTTCCCATTTTTTTTTCACCGAAATCGAACCATGCAAAAAGATAAAGCTATAAGGTCAAATGAACAAAGTACGGTTTAGAAAATGTTGTTGATCGTTCGGTGCACTTTGAGCTCAATTATCTCGGTTCCTATAAGAGATTTTAAAAATTTGTTCACTGATAAAATATTGATGATATTGTGATAAACATTTTATTAGTTGACCAATTTTCGATACCTCTCATAGGAACCGAGATAATTGAGCTCGAAGGAAGAGCACTGGGTGGTGTTCTACGGTCGACCAGTAGGATGCGACCGCTTAGCTGGATTATCTCGGTTCCTATGATAGATATCAAAAAGTTGTCAACTGACAAAGTGTTTATCATAATATCATTATTTTATCAGTTGAATATTTTTAAATATCTCTAACAGGAATCGAGATAATTGAGCTCAAAGAAAACGCACTTAGGTGGTGTTCTACAGTCGGTTAATAGGTTTATCACCGCTTAGCTCAATTATCTCGGTTCCTATTAAAAATATCTAAAATCTGTCAATTGATAAATATTGGTGGTATTATGATAAATAATTTGTCAGTTGACAAATTTTCGATATCTGTTACAGAAACTGAGATAATTGAGCTCAAAGGAAGAGCACTGGTTGGTTTTCTACTAACAGGATGCGACCGCTTATCTCGGTTCCTATGAGAGATATCAAAAAGTAGTCAACTGATAAATTATTTATTGTAATATCATCAATATTTTATCAGTTGAACACTTTTTGATATCTCTTAGGGAAACCGAAATAATTGAGCTCAAAGTTGGAAGCTAGCGAGAGGGGCGGTGGGTGCATTTGATGATTTATTACTCAGCTGTGTTAGCGTTTTTTTTGGGAACTTATCGGAAGATCTTTTTGGCAAGGTTCAGGGATCTTATCTAGATCGTAGGTTCTTGGAAATAAAGAAAAAAAAGTGTTTTTGTTATTGAAATCAAATTTAAGTTTTCAGAAAAAAATTTGAGAAAATTAAGATTGCAAGAACCTCTGGAATCTCGTTTTCACCATATTTTTATCACGAGAATCAAAAAAACGATTGAAAATTTTGAAACACTTTCTATCCACACTATGAGCCTATATATCTCAGTTCCTGTAACAGATATCAAAAATTTGTCAAGTGATAAATTGATTATCACGATATCACCAATATTTTATCATTTGACCAAAATTTGATATCTCTAATAGGAACCGAGATAATTGAGCTAAGCGGTGATAAACTTAGTAACCAACTGTAGAACACCACTCAAGTGCGCTTCTTTCGAGCTCAATTATCTCGATTCCTGTTAGAGATATCAAAAAGTGATAAACTGACAAAGTGTTTATCACAATGCCACCAATATTTTATCAATTGACCAATTTTTGATATCTCTAATAGGAACCGAGATGATTGAGCTAAGCGGTGATAAACTTAGTAACCAACTGTAGAACACAACCCAAGTGCGTTTCCTCTGAGCTCAATTATCTCGATTTCTGTTAGAGATATTAAAAAATTGCGAACTGATAAAATACTTGTCATATTATCATTAACATTTTTGTAGTTGACCGACTTTGGATATATTTCACAGAAATCAAGAAGCAACACGGTCGCATACCTAGTAACAGACCGTGGTACACCACTCCATTTGAGCCCAATTATCTCGCTTCCTTCGAAAGATATCAAAAATCTCTCACCTGATAAAATGCGTGTCATGATATCAGCAACATTTTATCAGTTAACAAATGTTTGATATCTTCTACAGGAAGCGAGATAATTGAGCTGAACGCCTGCTTCCAGATCCCCCCCCCCCCCGGTTTGCAAACGCGCTCCATCGGACTATTCGAAGCGCTTACCTGTGAAAGAGCATTATTGAAGACCAAAACATCAGCGTTTCTAATCGACGGAAGTTGTTCGAGCGAATTGTGAACTTTCACCTTGGCGCCGAGTGGGTCGAAAGCGACCGCGTAGTTTTGTCTGGAAACCTCGCTCTATTGATAACAAATGCCCAGTAGAGCGCACAAGCACTAACCCTTGCTTCTCGCATGTAGAGATCACTTGAACATTGGCGATGGATCTTCCTTCGGAAACCTTCTTGACATAGTACAACGCTTGACGTGGAATCGACAGAGACGACATGACGCTTCGCAGATTGAGCTGACCAGCAGTAAACACAAGAATGACCGATAGAGAAGACACTTGTATGCTGTTAGCTAAGCTCCGCCCACTTTTTCTACCTGCCCCCGTTACAGATTTTTATCAATTCCTTGACTATCTTATCGTGAGGCGATCGTCGAGAGAGAAGGAGAGACATCTTCCTCGTCAGTCAGTCAGCCACGCGGTGTAGTCAAAAAGAACTGCAAGATGTGACTGATGAGTTAGCTAATCGTCTCCAAATTAAGTGGCGGCAGATGATGAAAGGAGAAGAATTTGCAAAAGAAGAAAAGTTCAAACTATTCCAAGTTTATGTAGAAAACAAAGCAAAGCGGTGGTAAAGGAGAGGGAAACATGAGATTCATATTCAAAATGAGAAGGATCGGGATGGAGTGATGGGATACAGGACACATTAGAAATTGCATTTTTTCAAAGTGTTCAATTCAATGAAATCGACGCTGGATCGAGTGGCCCTCTGGGCGATTGTACAGATGGACGTGGAGCACGGAAGTCGCCTCGTTCGATGACTCGCGGGCTGGCGCTCATTGATGCGCGACGTGGCATATCATCGGCAGTGGCGACGGAAGATGTCATAAGGTTCTGGAAGGCTAGGAAGTCGTCAGATCTTGGAGAAGGTGTTAGTGGGCCTCCAGACGACGTGAGAAGATATGGAGGATCTCTGAAGGAATGTCTTTTCTTTTTGACAGCTTTTCTTTTTCTAAGACTCACCTCTTCTTCTTATAAGACTCTTCAGATCCAGAAACGGTTGCACGTCTTCCAGATAGGCCAACTGGTGAAGGAGATGGACTAGAAGGCGTGCTAGCGAATACAAGTCCAGAGAGTCCTTTATCCCCTTTCAGAAAAGATGAATCCAGCTCGAAAATATTGTTGAGCTCAATAGGATTTAATTCGGAATTCGATTGATCACGCAAAGCGGGAAGACTGAGGAAGTCCATGATCTTCTCAAGCATCATTCGATAGACGACAGTTTGACTGATTCCGATACGAAGAAGCATCGAAGTTGGCACCAGAAGCGTATCGCTAGCATGTCCAACAACGACAAGACCTGTGTTGGCGATCATGGATTCGCGCATTTCTGCCATTGCCCGGCTGTTGAATCGTTTGCCTTCAGCGCCAACGATGAAGAGTGTCGGGCAGTAGGTCAGAAGGATTTCGTCATCAGCGGTCTGAAAATCGAAATTGTAGATAACATATTTAACTGTGCCAACTTACTCCACGTCTTCCAAGTGGAGACATCACTGGGAATCCAATCGAAATGATTGCTGAGATTCCTCCGACAAGATTTGCAGCTCGATGAACTAGATATGTGCTAGCTCCATAGCCAACAAGCACCACTTTACAGTGAGGTCTCTCCAAATTCCTCTGCTTGACACTCGTACAAATTTTATCCACAACAACATCCGACAAGTATTCGGCTACAGAGCACGTCGCATCAACGTGCTCAGTGCAAGAGATCAGCTCAGAGTCTGGATGACCAATCGATTGTAGCCAACGGAAGATACGTCCGTACTGCTGACGATGATGCTGCTTCTGGTCCCCGATCGTCAACGTCGGGGGGACAAGCAGAAAAACCGTGTTCTCGAAGCGATGCAATGGAATTGTGCCTTTAAGGAGATCAGTTCCAGGCTCATTGTACTTTTTGTGAGCGAACGCCTTAACGATAGAAGTGACCTGACCCCAATCGACGTCGTTATCGTCTTTGGTGCTGTTGATAATGTACTGAATGCGAGCTGGATCCTGAAACTGAACTATGATTAGAATATATGCGTAAAATGTCTATTATACCATTCTCTTTGCATATCTCAACACACTCAGATACGATGCGAGATAATTCACTGGCAAATTTTCGAGCAAGAACAAGTGTGCCCAGCAAATCGCATCCTCTCGATTCGAATCCGTCATCGCAAACAGATTCTTGAGCTCCTGGGCGTTTGCAGAAGTGATCGTATGCCACATGCATCCCTGCTCATCCACACTTCTGGTTGGTGGCGTAGATTCATAGGTAAACTGATTGAGAACGATGGTCACTGCATCGTTGAGAACCAACTGACGGGGCTCCAAATGCTCCATAGCTTTCGTCTGAAGATGTTCCAAAGAGAACGGCTTGCCGTCGTGTCTAGTGGGTCTTGGAAGGATGACAATCACTTGTTCGGCGATATCAAGCGCTGCGGTTCGTAACTCAATAATTGCTTGCTCAGTGGGCACTTCTTCAGGCTCAGCGTCCACGCCGACAACTACATCAATCTCCGGCTCTCCTCCTCCTTCATTTTCAACGTTACTGGTTGAAGGGCTAACTTGATCAGCAAGCAACTCGTGATAATAGAAATCATCCGGATCTGCCGATTGTCTCTTTCTCGACATCAATTTAATCTTCGAATTTTTCTGCGCATAGTTTAACTTCGGTTTTATGTACGAATCGAAGCGAACAGTGTAGTTTTTGGCTTCTTTGATAGAAGCATCCATTTCAGCATCGAACAAATTCGAAATGGAACGTCTTGCTTTCTGTTGACGACGCTCTTCTTTCGGAACGGGCTCTTCTTCTTCTTCTTCTTCTTCATAATCGACCAAAGCTGGTGACTCCTCTGGCTCCTCACTTCTCTCTTTAGGCTTCTGACGATTCACAGGTGGCGTCCAGTACATGTCGTCTAGAGCTCTTGGAGCTTGTCGTTTACGCTTCCCTATCTCATCCGAAGTGGACGGTGTTTTTACGGCGGCATTCATTTGAATATCCAACTTTCTTGCTTGCAGTCTCATTCGCTTTGTATGATCGATTTTTGCTCTGAGAAAAAAGACGTATTGAAAATAGCTGGTTAGCATCGCTTACTTAATCTTGGCTTTGACAACTTTCGGATCAATATCTTCGTGCTTCACAAGGCCATCTTCACAAACTTTGAAGAGAAGCACGTCTAGAACCTCGTTGACTTCCTCGTTGAGCTTCACAACAACTCCTTCTACTTCATAATCGTCCAGCGGGATTTTAACCGATGGAACGTAGCCACGCAGAACTCCATTGATAACCGGAACTGGTTTCGGTGTTGGTGGAGGACGTGGAGTGCTTGGAGTTGCGGCACTGGCAGAAGGCCCGGCTTTTCTACGAGACGATGTTGGCAGAGGGATCTCTTCTGGTTCTTGTGCTTGCTGAAAGTATAACTCATATTCTATGAATCTCCCAAGCATCGGAATTGCAGCTACTCACCTCTTTAGCTGGATTCTGCTCGGTGACACGTGTTCTTCCCAAAACTTCCGTGTTGAATGTGGAGTCTATATAAAGACGATTCGGCTTGGAGACACGACCAGAAGCACGAGTTGGTGTTGGTGCCGCAGCGACTGTAGCTGCTGGTGCTGGTACCGACGCTGGCTTTTTCGATTCCTTCACTTCTGGAGCAGCTGGCGGAACATCGACCGTTGCTTCTTTTACTTCTTTTTCAGCTTCTTCTTTCACTTCCTCTTTTACCTCCTTTTTCACCTCCTCTTGAACTGGAGCTGGCTCCTCTGGATCTTCAGCAACTTCCGCTGCAGCTCGAGCCGCCTTCTTGATCTTCTTATCTGCTGGTTTCGGAGCCGTTGCCTCTCCAAGCAGCCGTTTTTTAATTGCCAAAGCACTATTTGGGTTCAGTGGCGCTTCTGAAGTGGACGGTTCGTTATCCTGGTCTTTCAGAGCAAAAGTGACGGTGGACTTTCGACGAGCCGGCGTCTTTTTCTTAACTTCCTGAGCATCTTCAACTACTTTCTCCTCTTTTTTGGCTTGTTCCTCTTCTTCCTTCTCTACAACCTTTCTGCTACGTCTTCTATTCGTCTCTGTAGATTCCTTCCTCACAGATGAACTTCTGGGCTTTGCTTGCTTAATTTCTTCTGGAGAGTCTTCTGGAGCAGCTGATGTGGACATTCTGGAAGCATATGACATAAATTATAATGTACCAAGAGTGCGAATCGCCTGGGTGACGCGTGCCCTCACTGTCTGCGTCTCTCTCTCCATGCCGGAGCGTATAAACAAAATTCAAAAACAACGCACCTTCCGCGAGCAACTGTAGCGGCTTGATCCTTTTTTGAAGTCCCATTCCCTTTTTTGGCGGGTTTCTGAAATTCAAAAAATTGTTTTAAACATCTTCACACTATCATACTAAACTATCATTTATTAGCTAAGAGGAATCAAGAGGAAAAAAGGAAAACAGAAATGAGACCGGTTGGATATGAGATTAAACCGAGTGCTTATAAAACGGCTTTTACAAAACGGGAATGGTGTGCAGTATTTAGTGTCAGTGACGAGATATTAGATTATGCTATTTGCAAAGTGTAAACCATTACTGGAGTCTGTGTTGTTGATGTTGCTGGAGCTGCCACGATCGCGTCTTCTACGATGTTAGAGCTATCTGTAACACGAAACAAAAATGGGATCACACACAAACAAGCATTCATACCTGGAGATGGTTTCCACTCATCTGGAATGTCGTAGTTCTGCTCTCCGAGCTTTTCCACTTCGCTACGAACGCTTTCGATACTTGCGTCGAGATCTTCTTGTTGAGGTGTGGCGGTGGATTTCTTCTTTTTTGGAGCAACAGCCGGAGTAGTTGGAGTTGAAGTCGTCATCGTCTTACGCTTCTTGGCAACTGGAGATGGCGAGAACCGCTTCTTAGCCTTATGACGACTTCTTTTGTCGAGCGATGGCGACCTTCCACGACTTTCTTGAGAAGAGCTGTAAAAACATAGAATTTAAAGAGAGATTAAATGCTTTTTTTAACCTTCTAGTTTCTTCAGATGCTGGTTCTTCCTTCACCGCTGCCTCCTCTTCAATTGCGAGTTCTTCTTCAACAATCTTTGCTTTCTTTGCTGGAGTTTTCTTAGCTGGTGTCTTCTTAGCCTCTGACGGTTTTGGAGTTTTAGCTGGTGTCTTTACAGGAGTTTTCGTGGTAGTAGCCGCTGCTTTTGGAGTCGTTGATGATTTTTTCGGAGTTTTAGGTTGAGCTTTCGGTGTCGCAACTGCTGGAGCCGCCGCTTGAGATCTCCGAGTAACTCGTCCCGAAGAGGAGGTGCCCTCGGCATTGAGGTCGAGGTGCAAGTCCAGTAGGTCCATCCCGAAAGTCTGAAAAACTGAGCTATTAGAGTAAAATCAATAGACAGATTTTTTTGGGATTTTTTGAGCTAAAAAATTATTTAGATCGGATTTTTCAGTAGATTCGAGACTTTAAAGATAAATTTTATTTGTTTCACACAAAAATCAATGAAGCGGCCCGAAAAAATCACATGAAAAGGTGAAAGTGTTTCGCGGTAAAAATTGTTGACTGAGAAAAAATTCGTTTGCGCATATTCCGATGCTGGCGCGCACTACGGGCGGGCTAGTAGTCTCCCTTGCATTTTCTCAAAAAAAAGTGTTTTTTCTCTTATTTATTTGCAAAGAAAACTGTATTTCAGACTGATTTTTCTCGATCTTTGAAAATTACTAAAAAAACGAATTTAAAATTTTGTGTTTTTTCAGGTAACGATGCCGGCACCTCCAGCTCCCTTTGAGGGGCAGAAGAATAAGGCACACAATGGTTGGTTTGAAAATTATATGCCATCGTCAATAAAACTATTTTTCAGTTCACAAAAGTGGTGGAAAAGCGAAAAAGAAAGCTGAGAAGGAGCCAAAAGCAAAAGGAAATAATCCGAAAGGTTTCACTTTTCATTCGGCTGTCGCCGCTGGCAAGGCAATCCGGCGAGCTGCGGATATTAACGAGAAGAAGAAACATGTCTTGATGATGGATAGAAAGCCTCTGGAAGCACCTCCAATTATTGTTGCCATTGTTGGTCCCAGTAAAGTCGGAAAAACAACGCTTCTACGCGGTCTAGTCAAGTATTATCTTCGCGACGGATTCGGAGAAATCAATGGACCAGTGACGATTGTAACGGGAAAAAAGCGTCGTGTGCAGTTTATCGAAGTCAAGAATGACATTAATCATATGATCGACATTGCAAAAGTCGCTGATTTAGTTCTCCTTATGGTCGATGCTTCGTATGGCTTTGAAATGGAAACTTTTGAATTTCTCAACATTTGCCAAGTCCACGGAATGCCCAGAATTATGGGAGTTCTCAACCATCTAGATCTTCTCGATGGAATTTCCCGTGTCAATAAAACTAAGAAGATTCTAAAGCACAGATTCTGGACAGAGCTTTACCAAGGTGCCAAGCTATTCTATATGACCGGAATGGTACATGGACAGTACAAATACAACGAGATTCACAATCTAACTCGGTTCATTTCTGTCATGAAGTTCCGCCCGATGGTCTGGAAAGATGCCCATCCTTATGTGCTCTGTGATCGCTTCGAAGACATCACCAACTCGGAGACTCTCCGCACAGAACCGCTTGTAGATCGCCACGTGGCAATGTATGGATGGGTCCATGGAGCGCATCTGAAGAATCACTCGTCGATCCACGTTCCAGGAGTGGGAGATATGAGAATCAGCAACGTAACGAGTCTTCCGGATCCGTGTCCACTGCCAGATGAGATTAAACGGCGTGCGCTGAATGAGAAGGAGAGAAAAGTGTACGCACCGTTTTCTGGATTAGGAGGAGTCATTTATGATAAGGATGCGATTTATATTGAGTCCAAAAACGCTCATCATTTCAATGTGAGTTCTTAATTACTAAAATTTTCGTTGGAATCTTAATTTTTCAGAAGAAGCGCGATCATCTGGTTGAAGCGTTAGAAGGCGTCAAAGCCGGAATCGATGACAAGTTGAAAAAGTCGTCCGTACAGCTTCTCGGTGATTCTGTAGCGTTGGATGTGGATGCAGAAGAAGATGATGATGAAGAAATTGACGAAGAGGAGGATTTCGAGGATGAGGAGGAGGACTTTGATGATGAAGAGGAAGAAGAAGAGGAAGAGGACGAAGGTGTCAAAAAAGAAGAAAAACACGAATGGTCGAATCTAGCATCGAAAGCTGTTGCTCAGTACCGCGAGGCCACGAATACTAAAGTCAACTGGATGAAGTTGGTTTATGGAGGAGAGAAAGTGATAAAAGAGGAGAAGGAGGAGACAATTGATGACTTGTTCGTAGTCCGCAGGCAGAACCAGAAGAGTGAAGATGATCAGGAAGACGGATTTGGCTATGGAGTGCTTCCTACGATCTGCTCTACTAGCACCAACGACTGGAATCTTGAGGAGATCCGACAGTCGATTGCTGATATGTTTGTTACCGGAAATTGGAGTGAAGAGGATGCTGAGGAGGACAAGTTGAAGAAAGAGATTGGAAGTGATGAGGATGAAGATGAAGACTTTGATGATGAAGAGGAAGACGAAGACGACGGTGAAGTGGAAGAAAGAAAAGAGGCAAAAGAATCCGAGGCTGATAAAACTAGAAAACAGAAGCGACTAGAGGCGAAAATCAAACTCAAACAGCGCTTCAACGATGACTACGATGAGACTTGCAAGTTTTACAATAAAGCCAAAAATGAGTTGACTGAGCAAGCGGATCTCAATCGTCAAGTCTTCGAAGGCATGGATGAAGAGGAACGAGAGAAGATTGAGGGATTCCGCGCAGGACGCTATGTCAGAATTGAGATCGAAAGTGTTCCATGCGAATTTGTGAGCCATTTCGATGCCACTGCTCCGTATATCATTGGTGGACTGCTACCAGGAGAACAGAATATGGGAGTGGTACAAGCGAGAGTCAAGAGACATCGTTGGTTTGAGAGAACGCTAAAGTCTAGAGATCCACTGATCATCAGTTGTGGATGGAGACGATTCCAGGTGAACAACTAGTTTATCCTGAAATCATTTTTAAAAAACATTTTCCAGACACTCGCCATCTACTCGGTACAAGACCACAACATGCGTCTACGTTTCCTCAAGTACACTCCCGAGCACATGCATTGCCATGCGTCATTCTTTGGTCCAATTTGTGCACAGAACACTGGACTCCTTGCCATTCAATCTATCGCTGATAAAACGCCAGGCTACAGAATCGTTGCTACAGGAGGAGTATTGGATTTGGACAAGTCGACGCAAGTGGTGAAGAAGCTGAAATTGATCGGTACTCCAGAGAAAATCTTCAAGAAGACTGCGTTCGTCAAAGGAATGTTCAATTCGCCACTGGAGGTTGCTAAATTTGAAGGAGCCACGATCAGAACGGTCGCTGGAATTCGTGGACAGATTAAGAAGGCTATCAAGGCGCCAGCTGGAGCCTTCCGTGCAACGTTTGAAGATAAGATTCTGATGAGAGACATCGTCTTCCTTCGTTCCTGGGTCACTGTACCGATTCCTCGTTTCTACACTCCGATCTCCGATCATCTTCAAGCCGCCTCCGAACCATGGATCGGCATGCGAACCGTTGGAAAAATGCGTTCCGAGTTGGGCATGGGAACTCCACAAAACAAGGACTCAGATTACAAGCCAATCGTTCGCAAGGAATTCGAATCTGCTCCAATCCATTTGCCACCAAAGCTTCAGAGAAGTCTTCCGTTCAAGATGAAGCCAACTTATCAAGCGCGTGAAGAGAAGGAGAAGGACTCGTTGATTGCCAAGCACACTGCGGTGGTACTAGAGCCTGAGGAGGCGAAGAAGGAGAGATTCATGGATATGTTGAGAACTCTGAACGAAGTGGACTTGAAGAAACAGGAGAACATCAAGGAGGGATACAAGAAGAGAAAGGCCGAGGAGGTAGGAAGTTAATCGTCGGTTCTATGTGATTATTTCAATTTTCAGATGGCTGAAAGTGAAGCGAAACGTGAGAAAAGCATCAAGTCTCGCAAGAAGGAGATCAGCAGAGTTCTATCGAAGAAAGAGCAAACCAAACTTCGCAAAGCTCTTGGCTCGTCGGCTAGCAGCTCATAAATCATTTGTTGTTTCAATTTGTTAACTTTCTATTTTTCGTTATTGTTTTTTGTTGAAATTTTTAAAAAATTTTTATGAATCCGTATTTGTTGTTTTTTTCCTTTCAATTTTCCAGATTTTCGAAGAAATCGAGATCGCTTTACATTGTATGTCTGAATTTTTAATTTTGTAATTTCCCTTTTCCCTTTTCCCAGATTCTCGCCCAAAAATGATCGGTCTGGAGTCGTGGTTCGCCAATTTCTCGCAGATTTCTAGTCGATGGATCACGGCCCAATCGCTAGCGGATATCCCCAGACCCCACGTAGAATATGCCATTTTTGCGACTTTCAAAGCCGCGGAGCTCATGAGTGTTCTAGGTTTTGACACAGTTTTTTTTTTCAAAAATAAAACTGATTTTTTGAAATTCAGGCGGTCTGGTAGCCCATCCAATCTATCGTTGGCACTTGTCCAGGAAATTGAATCCCAAAATGATGACTTCGAATTCCGAGAAAATCATCAGAACCGCGTGTCGAAAGCTCCAGGGGCGCTTTCTGATCGCCGGTCTTGTCACGGCTCCATTCCTCAGTCGTCTCGAAACTCATTTATCTGGGACGACAGAGAGTGAGCTGAAGAATCGCTGCTATCAGATTAGATGCAACGCGGAGACATTGTCCTTGGTGAGTCGTACGAAACTCGAAAATCCGCCAAAAAAGCGGCGCCACTAAACAACGCGCGCTTCCGTTCTTTCGGAGCGTCGTAATGCGCGCGAATTCAAATTTACTTTTTTCAGGACCGCGCCGTACTCGTTTGCGGCTTCATCGGATGGTACTGGCGACGATTCCAAGGTGCTGTCGACGGTGTGAACGTTGGAATCGCCTACGCGATGGTCAACAGTCAATTCATCGCTCCTCGCACGTCGCCAGTTCTGAAGAACAGTGTGCAAGAGTCGGAGAGATTTGAGACCGTTGAAGCTATGGAGGAGTCGAAGAGCAAGTTGAACAAGTTTCTAGCAGAGAAGGAGCGAAGTGAGACAGCCAAGGAATCCTCTTAATTGTTTTTCGTCTTTTTTAGGTGCTATTGTAGATCTTTGTTTGTTCATGTTATTGCAATAATAATCACTGTTCGAAATTGATTTATTATCACCATTATTATCATCAAAACAAACGACAAAAATACATCAAATTTATTTCAACATGAATCAGAAGAAGAGAAAAAAAAATAGATTCGCGAGAATGGGAAATGCGTGTCATACCCGCAAAAGACTACAAGGAGAAAAGACGGACACTAGAAAATATAGGTGTTTTTAAAACTTTTAGAACCGAGACGAAAAAAAAACTCGTATAGGGCACAAAGAGAGATAGAAAACTGCTTTTCCCTGAAGGCGGGGAAAATGGTTAAAAATCTGATTTTAAAATCCTTCTTTTTTCCAAAGTGCAAAATTCCGAAAAATCTAAAAGAAGGGAGAGTTTGGGGCGTCATGTAAACCGGGGCGGCGAGGATCTTTTTGACATATAAATTAGTAAAAAAAATTCTGGGGAAAATGTTAAAGCTTTTGGGGAGATGGGCGGGGGGACAAATGATGTGATTACATTGGGAAGACGACGTCCATTTTCTTCTTGGCTGCCACGTTGTTGAGCACCTCGTTGACAGTCATTCGACTCGTTTCTGGGCACATAAAGTAGCACATGAGGGTGAAGATTCCGGTGGGGACGAGGAAGAGGAGGAGCGATTGGGCGCCAATCTGGAAATTCAAATATTTCGATTTTGAAAATGTGTTTTTTTCTGAAAATTCAAATTTTTAAAGGCATATGCAGTTGCGCTCTAATGACAAGGAGTGATATTCAAATTGCTCTCTGCGTCTCTCATTATATAGCACTGAGATTGCATGCTCTCGCTCTCAATTTTTTGCTTAAAACGGCCTAAAACGTTGCCACTTTTCTCATTAGAGCGCACTCGCATACCACAGAAATTTGAATTTTCCCCAAAACTCACCACATTGGCAGTTGGATAAAACGCGAACTCCACACCGATTTTGGTGAGCGCTTCGAACATTGTCAACGTGGAAACCGAGGAGAGCAGCAGATTCCGGGGAACCAGCTCAGCTGCGTAGAACCGGGATACGGATCCGATACCACAGGTGTTGATAAGAAGAAGGACGGTGAGACCGATGAAGGTGGCGTACTGTAACAAATGAAAGATCACCTCGTATTCACAACATATGATCTCTTACCTTCCACTCTCCACCAATATCGATTGCAACGATCATCGCGAGAAGTGAGATAAACGAGACGAGCATCGAGACAACAATCAGTGGTCGACGACCGAGTCGATCCACCAGGAACACTGGTACAAGTGTGAATGGAAGACGTAGAAGACCAGTGGCAAAAGAAAGCCACGTGGCTTGAGCGTAGGTGAAGTTGGAGAGAGTGTAGAGAATGAAGGTGCTGTAGCCGCGGAGAGAACGGGCGCCGGTGAATACGTAGGCGATTTTGACCATGACTCCAACCCAGGCGCAATATCTGATGAGACGAGAGGTTTGATCCTTGGCACGCCATGGCATGAACATGATCTCCATTCCGGTGTGCGACGTTTCAATACCTCCCGCTGTCTTCTTCTTCTCCTTGTTCTTTCCGATACTTTGCTCACAAATTCTCATCTCCGCTTCCACCGATGGATCGTCTTCAGACACTCCGTGATACTGTGCCAACGCCTTTCTCGCTCTCTCCACATCGTTGTACTTCTCCATGATGAATTGCGGCGATTCGGCGACCCACCAGAACATCACCATCGACACCAGCACCACAGCGCAGTTTGGCAAAAAATTGTAAGGCCAGAGCTCGTCAGTAGAGAATGGCACGCCTACAGCCTGGGTTAGCAGTGAGCCAAGAGCCATGAAGAACTCCTGCATAGCTGCCATTCGACCACGGATTTGCGGTGGCGCACATTCAACAATCCAGACAGTGGCGTTCACCGTATTCACTCCGTTGGCAAGCGACCAGATGATTCTGCCAACGAACAAGAGCTCGAAAGCAGGGAAGCACCATTTGGCAGCAGCGCAGAGGATCGCTCCGGGGATCTGAAGTTAAGTGATGTTTGTCTGTTTGTCCTGATGTCCAACCACTTACATAAAGAAACGAGGCAATCAACGCGGTGTACTTTCTTCCAAACTGGCTGCACATCCATCCTGCCAAAAATTGTCCAAAAATGGTGGCGATCGGGAAGCAGACGTTGAGTAGTGACCATAATAAATGCTGAAAGTGAGGAGCTGATAGGTCTGATGAGGTCTGATAAGAGTTTTTAAAATGTGTGTGCACTGGGTGGTTTTTTATCGGGATGTGGTGTTAATGCGCTCAAATGTGAATACCGTAGTATTACAGCGATCGGTTGGAGACCGACCGAAATAATAGAAGCCTCAATTTCAACTTACAAGTGTAGAATCCGAAATCGGGTGTCCCGTCCGTTCTATCCACGACGAGTTGATGAATTGCTCAATTTGAGCGTAGGGCTGATTGAGCACAGAAGCGATGTATCCTTGTTGGAATCCCGATGACAAGCATAGCGCTATCGATAGGATATGGATGGACCAGGAGGGCATGACCTGAAAAATCAAAAAATTAGAAATTTGGAGAAACTTCTAGATTAAGACGAAAAAAATTGTGGTCAATCTTTCAACTTTTTCTTCTATCACTTGAAGTTTTTATAGTTTCTTCACAGAGTGACCAGACAACCGAGACAACAAAGCACGTCTTCTAAAAAAAGAGAAAACAACAATACAGCTGAGAAGAAGGAGAGAAACAGTAGACAAATGAAAAGAGTGGACAGTGGGCAGCAGTGTACTGTTGATAAGAAGAAGCAAGGAAACCCTTCCATAACCGAGAAGAAGAAAATGACTGATTGGATGGCTTGACCAGTTAGAAAAAAAGGGTCCGCGGGATTTCTAGATTGTTTGGATTCTAGAATCCAGAAGCCTAAAGTAGATGTCCAAAACGGAGTTCCAGCCATAGCTCTCCTTCTAGAATCTATATTTTCGGACCAGCTTGATTGGATATGATAGAACTCAACGGGTACTACAAAATCATACTGCTTGGATTACTGTATCTTGTCTATGAACAAAGTTACAAGCCAAAAACCTGTGACCGCATAGCTCAGCTGGTTTTAGGCTCGTAACCTTGTTCATAGACAAGATACAGTATTCCGAATAGTATAATTTTGTAGCACCCGTCAAGTTCTATGATGTCCAGTTTGGTTGGTTCGAAAATATTGATTTTAAAAGGAGTTATGGTAGGGTCCGTTTGTGGCATCACACATTCCAGAATTCTAGAATTCAGAAGCCTAACGTAGACGTTCAAAGTTCTGGATTCTATCTGGATTCCGCACAAACATCTATAGGCAATTTATGATAACACATCCCGACGAGAGAATCTTATCATATATGGTGTTCCTAAATACCTGTGAGGAGGTGTTGGGGGTGATGAGAACCAGTTTTTTTGGATTTCACTTTCAGTGAAAATACCGGGAGTCCTAATGCACTAGATCAGCACTGGTATATATGTTTTTCAAAAAAAATTTTTGGGTGGAGACGTTAGGCGAATTTAGGTTTTGATGCTTTAATGGTTTTGGGCATGATAGGCAGTGATAAGTGCATTCAAAAGATGTGGTGTTTACAGAAAGAAATCTTCTGAATTTCATTATCACTAACGATCACATCCAAACTATAAAAGCATGAAAACCGGAATTCGCCCAATTTCTACACCCAAACATTATTTTTTAAAAATCTATCAGTGCTGATCTAGTGCGTCAGGACTGTTTTCGCTGAAAAGGATACCCAGAAGAACTTTTCAGGATCACAAGCCAATGCTCTTGACTATCAAAACGTACCCAAAACCGTCGCAACGCCTTCTTCACCTGATCTGTGACCCTCATCTTTGTGTGTTTATAGACAAGACAGTCACTGTCAGTGTTACAATCGAATTTGTCTTTGAAAAACAACAGAATATATAGATATGGTGAAGAAGAGTTTAGAATTAATGACGAGCTGACTATGAGTGTGATGTTGGGTGCGCGGACAGGACAGGTCAGCAGCAAACCCAATGTGTGGACAAATAAAAGAAGTGTGTTGACCACTGTTGCTTTTTTTTCAGTGACCAGGAAAGGAGAGAACAGTTTCTTTGAATTCCTGAAGGCACTTTACGAAAACATAATAACTCCAAGTTATCACAACAACAACAAGTCCAAAATAGAAACTTTTCGGGGGCTATCAACAATATAGATCAGGTAAAAAAGATAGTGTCTTTTAGAATCCAAATTACTGGGCCAGATTAATTGGATATGATAGAACTCGACGAGTACTACAAAATGATACTATTTGGGATACTGTAGCTTGTCTATGAACAAGGTTACAGGCCAAAAAGCGCAGAGCTTTCCGGTCATAGCTTTGGAGATTTGTAACTTTGTTTCTAGATAAGGTACAGTAATCCCAATAGTATCATTTCGAAGTTCTCGTCGAGTTCTATCATATCCAATTAAGCTGGTCGGAAAATATAGATTCTAGAAGGAACTATGCTTGTTTTTCAAGCGTGATTAGAACCACTCGATTTTGGTTCAACTTTTTAAAGGGTCAAATTCATGGGAACTAGGAAACAAGCCTAAAACCTTTCCCGAACTCAAACCTTCAATTCCAACGAATCCGAAGTTGTCTGGGGACACTACAACGACCAACCAAAGTCCAGAACAATAACAAACCAAGTTCAAACGATTTTTTGAAACACAGAGAGGACTAAAAAAAAGGCGAGACGAGACTCATCATTTTGGTTTTAATGATCCTCTTCCTCTTGGGAGCGAAATAAAAGAAGAGAAGTGGGTTTCAAAAATGGGGGTCGATTTTTTATGGAATGGGGTCCTCTTTCCCCGACGAATGAAGATAATTTTAGAAGGCGTTGATAAAGACGCCTACAAGGATACACAGTTTGATTCACGTGAATTGCGGAAGGATTGATCTATGGAAGATTGGTCTATAGAAGTCTGGTCCAGAATGTCTGGATTACTGTAGAAATCGAATCCTGGATTACAGTATGAATTAGATTCTGGATTACTGTAGAAATGAAATTATGAATTGCTGTAGAAATGAAATTACGGATTACTATACTCTCGATTACTGTAGAGCTAAGGATCGGTTCATAGAAAATGACAAATTTTGGATTACTGTAGAAGCTAAATTCTGGATTACTGTAGAAATGAAATAATGGATTATTCTAGAAATTGAATTCTGGATTACTGTAGAAACTAATTCGGATAATTCGACTACTGTACATAGAGCTAAAGTTCGGTTCATAGAAAACCATCATGAATTTCGGATTACTGTAGATCTAATTTTCAAAAACTTACCTCAATTTTGAAACCCATCATAGCTAATTGTGCTGGTCAAGAGAATTTGTGTATTTTGCTTCCTTTGTGCACTCAATTTATACTACTCCCTGACCCATAAAACTTTTATTACTGTCTCCAAAAGTTTAATATTCTTTTTTGAACCGTTCTGGCTTCTTCCTTTCTGTTCACACAAAATGGTTTCCTTTATCAGTTTTTTCTTCCTTCCGGTCAAAGGTAGAGCAGTTTCTAAAGGTTATATTATCTAACTCATGACAAAATATAGGTAATGAAAAGGAGAACGGAAGTAGGTCACGGTCTTAAAAATTTGATTTTTTCACTGGCCAAAATGAAGGAAGAAAGAGGATTTTGCAGGATTCCGAAAGTTGATAAAGATTTGATAATTGATAAATCAATTCAACTTGCAAGGAGTGTCTGTCTGTGTATCCAGATGTCCTGATGTTCCATTTTTGACCTTTGTGCTTCTCTCTCTCTCTCTCTCTCTCTCTCTCTCTCTCTCTCTCACACACACACACACACACACACAAACTAATTAAGTTTAATTAACGTTTTCTAATTACCCAGTCCCATTTTTGCTCCTTTTTTCATTACAATTTGTGTCTATTGTCATTTTCCTTATTTTCCACGACAACCCCTCAAAAATCATCTACTGTAACAATGACCCTTATCACTGATAAACTTATCATTAATTCTCTAAATTTCCAGGTTATTTTCAGACTTTGCACGTTCCGGAGCACACATTTTTTTTCCAGGAAAAGCATACAACTTTTCCATGAAACCCCTCAATTTGTAGAAATTGTTCTGTTCTAATTGAATTCTCTCATCCAACATCTCTTCTAAATATAGCGAACGAATTACCAAATCAATCACAGATGACGTCACAAGTTCATCGTCCAGTTGAAAGACCAACGTCTGTCCCGACAACTTCCGATATCAACTGATATGATAGGAAAAGGAGAGATAGATGATCGGAGAACTAGTTTTTTTTCGAAATTTATCTTACTGTATTTCGTTTATTAGAATGCGCTCTAAATTTGAGCTCAATTATCTCGCTTCCTATAGGAGATATCAAAAGTCTGTCAACTGATAAAATACTCCTGATATTATGATAAACATTTTATCAGTTGACACATTTTCGATATCTCTCATAGGAGCCGAGATTATTGAACTCAAAGTTCAAGCCTTGGGATTATTTTCGAAATTCCCTTGATTTCGAAATTAATGTTTACTGTCTACTGTAAGGTTTTCCCGATAAGAGTGTATTAACCTAAGTTAAGCAAACATAAGGTACCAGGTCAAATGATCAAGAAAAATGAAACTATTTTCGAAAACAATATATATCACAAGATTCAAGGATCCTGAGGAGTCTATAGATGTGAAGAAGCAAGAATACCAAGCTAGTTAAGATAGCTAAGGTAGCTTAGGTAGCTATTGTAGCTACCGCAGCTACGCCAGCTAAGGTAGCTAAGCCAGTTAAGCTAGTTAAGGTAGCTAAGGTAACTAAGATAGCTTAGGTAACTAATCTAGCTAAGGTAGCTAAGCTACTGCAGAACATTTTCTAATTTTTTATGACAGCAAAAAAAACCACATACCTTCCTTGGCGCATCTGGTATAAGAGGTGCCTGCGAGTCATCGCTGGCAATCGAACCTCTTGGAATATTGGACATTTATAGATAGTTGCCTAATAGAGAGCTCCGAGACAACAGATTTGGCCGTAGCAGCAGCAGCAGCAGCAACCACAAAGACACAACAGCAGTGTATTATGGAAGTGCGAAAAGAAAGGCGAGGGAAGGGAAAAGACGCAAAAAGGGGGAGGAGGGAGCGAAAGCGCCAGGCCGAAACTTTTAGCGTGGGGGGGGGGCGCCGGAACTCGAACCTCTCCTCTAGGGACACGCTGTCTGTGTGTTGGTCTATCGCCTTCAGAAGATGCACGAATTCTCTTCCTCTCTGATTAGGTGTTTCCCCGAAGGGGGCGGAGCTTGTGACGAAACAAGTGTAAAGTTGAAAGACCGTATCACATATTATTTTTTGTGTAGTTCTTGTAAATAAGGGAATTAGGGGTTGGGGGGAGGGGGTCAACGGAAACGTTATCACATGGTGGTGGCTGGAAATGTTTGGAATTCTAGGGACTTCTTGAAAAAACCTTTTGAAGAGGAGCGAAAACCTGATTTCGGAATGATACATTGATACGAAAAAAACACCCTATTTACACCT